AGAAAGAAGAGAGAGAAGAGGAGAAGGGAAGAGGAAGAGGGAGAAGAAAGACTCGGACAATTAGACGGCCCCAGGCCGACACCACAGGTCCTCCCCCAGCCAGCCGCCCCCCCTGTCCCCGCCCTTCCTCCTTGGCCCCAGCGGCTCAGCGGAAGCTCACCTCCATGAAGCCTTTCTTGAGTGAGGCTGCTCACAGGCATGTCTTTGTCCCTGACCGCCTCAGCACTAGGACAGAAAGTGGCAGGAGATCAGAACCGGAACCAGAAGCAGAACAAAGGGGGTGGAATGTTGGAGCTGGGACACTCCCTCCTCTCACAGGTGAGGGGACAGGCACAGAGGGGCCTGGCCGTTGGGGCGCTGAAGGCCACTGGGGCCATCGGCAGGAGTTCTGCTCAGTTCTCCTACCTTTGACTGGGAAGGGTCCCCTCTGCTTGTCGGGAAGCTGCTTCCCCATTTAGCAAACACAACTTTTACAGGGGTCACAGGTCAGGGAGCCACCCACTCCCAGTGACCCCAGCCAGGCCAGTGAGCATGCTCCCTAGGAACTTTAAAAATGGAAATTAGGGGCTCTAGTGGTTAAGAGGCTGGACTCCCACATGGCTGACTGGAGGTTGGAGTCCCAGACCCAGCAGCTCGAAACTCATGCTGGGTGTCTGTGGTGCGTGCCCAAAATCCCGAGAGAAGAATGGAGAAGGGATTGCGGTGTGGCCATCCCCCTTGGGAGCCGACTTCGCGCTTGCTGTCTCTCTGGCTCTCTCTGGCTCTCCAGCAAGATCACGCACCCTATAACAAAAAATCTCTTAAAAAAAGAAGTGACGTCTTCTCTGTCTTTGGGTCCATAGGTGCCAGCAATCACAGCTCCCACCTCATAGAGAAAGCCAGTTGCCAAGCCCAGCTGCAGTAGAACATGCTGGTTGATGCTGCCACTGACAGGTGAGGGTGAGCCCAGTTCAGTTCCTGGCCCACCCTAAAAGCTGGGTGCAGTGGTGCACACCGTAGATCAAGCTACTCGGGCAGCTGAGGCAGGAGGATTACGTTATAGTAAAAACCTGTCAATAATAATAATATAATAATAATAATGCATTCATGAGATCCTATTTTTTTTTGAGAGGTTTTTGCTATAGGGCGCGTGCACTCGCCAGAAAGACAGAGAGAGACAGAGAGACAGAAAATGAGAAATCACCCCCCAGGGAGATGGCCACGCCGCAATCCCTTCTCCTCCATTCTCCTCTTGGGATCTTGGGCACACATGCACATGTGCTTGGCGTGAGTTTAAGCCACCGGGTCCGGGATTCGAACTGCGGTCGACTACGTGGGAGTCCAGCGACATAGCCATTACGCTAACTGCTGGTCCCTGAGATTCTATTTCTTTATTAAGACCTTCCGTTTTGGGACCAGCTGGTGGTGTAATGGTACATCGCTGAACTCCCACGTAGTCAGCCACAGTTCAAGTTCTAGACCTAAAGGCTTAAAATTCATGTCAGGTCTGTGTCCGTGCATGGCCAAAATACCATGAGGAGAAGGGATTGTGGTGTGACCATCCAGCCTGGGGAGGGATTTCTCTCTTTCTGTCTGTCTTTCCAGTAAGCACATGTGCCCTATAGCAAAAATCTCTCTCTAAAAAAAAGAAAGAAAGAAAAAAAAAGAAAAAGTTTTATTCTTTTATGTTCCAAACCCAGCAAATGTATTAAAACCAGGTGTTAGGGTTGCAAAAAGTTTCACCCCAGATTTTAGAATGAAGTAGTGAAGGTATGGACACTGCCACTTCCACCCATCAGAACCTGTTTGCCTTTCTGTGCTACTTTCTTGTCTCTAAAACGGCACAATAGCGCCACCTAGTGCACAGCACTGAAACAGAAAATGCAGGCCTGGATACCAGGATAATGTCCCCTCCCCTTGCAAAAAACCCAAGTCAATCCTTAACACTGGTAACTTTGTAAATATGATTAAATTAAGGACTCTGAGATGGGAAGATTACCCAGCATCCTCCGGGTGGACCGAGCATTGTCATGAGGGTCCTTTGAGAGAGGGAAGTAGAGAGGCCAGCAGGTGGCGTGGTGGTTAGGGGTGCTAGACTCTCACATGGCCAGCCACCGTTCCAGTCCTGGACCTGGCAGCTTGCTTTTCCTCTCTCCCTCTCTCACTCTACCCCTCTCTGGTCAAATTAAAATAAATAAATAAAGTTAAATAAAATAATTCTCTTTTCTTAAAAAGAAAGAAAGAGGGAAGCAGAAGAGCAGAGTTGGAGAAGGTGTGAAGTCAGAGTGAGGCAACTGCAGGAAGGCTCCATACACCCAGGAATGGGGGGACCCTAGACACCAGACAAAGCAAGCGGCCCCCACTTCCCAGGGCCTCCGTCTGGAACGCAGCCTGGCCGACACCTGGACTGTAGGGCCATGAGACCTATTTTGGACTTGTGACTCTGGAACTGTAACAACTATCTGTGGGGCCAGCAGGTGGCATGGTGGTTAAGGTGCTGGACTCTCGCATGGCCATCTGTGGTTCGAGTCCAAGACATGGCAGCATGAAACTCATGCCGGGTGCCTGTATGTTCCCCAAATCCCAAGACAATGGAGGAGAAGGGATTGCGGTGTGGCCATCGTCCCAGAGGGGTGCTTTCTCCCTTTCCCTCTCTCTGTCTCTCCATCTCTCTCTCAGGTGAGCACACGTACCTTATGGTCAAAAGAAAAAAAAATGTTATTATAAGCCACTGTGTTTATGGCAGTTTTCGTCAGAAACTAATGGAGCGTGTGAAGCACGTCCCCAGGATCCGGTAAAGGCCCACGAACTGCGGTGGCTGTTGCCAGTATTCTGTTGCCCTCAGGCAGATCTCTTCCGTTACAGAAGTTCAACTATTGGTTGCTTAGGTAGGAAGGGGCATGAGGCCAGTGGCTGTGCAGCGGTAAAACAGGATAGTCTGTTAGGCAATTCCACGTAGAAAGTTTCCTGGTTCAAATCCAGAAACCTCCCTGCAAGGGTTGAGCACGTCCTCACCCGTGATCTGGGACTGGCTATAGGCTGGGGGCGGATTGTGGCATTGGGACTTTGCTGGAGATGCCCTCTCTCACGCGCTCATAGAAGAAAGAAAGAAAGAAGCTTTTAGAAAAAGATTTTTCCTCACACATTCAGCAAGACAAAGCTAAGCAGGTGTCGCAATAAAAGTAAATGCAATTGGGACCAGCAGTTGGCGTAATGGCTATGTGGCTGAACTCCCAAGTAGTCGACCGCGGTTCGAGTCCTGGACCCGGTGGCTTAAACTCACGCCAGGCACGTGTGTGTGGGTACCCAAGATCCTGAGAGGAGAATGGAGGAGAAGGGATTGCAGCGTGGCTATCCTCCATGAGGGGTGATTTCTCACTTTCTGTCTCTCTGTCTCTGTCTTTCTGGCGAGTGCACGTGCCCTGTAGCAAAATCCTCTAATAAAAAAAAAAAAAGTAAATGCAGTTATGGAGCACTGGCCCTGGCACTGAGAGAGGGTCCTGCTGGCTGGTCTGCAGCCACATGAGAAAAGCAGGTGCTTCCAGCGAGGACTGTGCATCTTTACAAAGTGGTGCAAAGGCGCGGGGTGAGTGGGAGGTAGACACCCGACTGCAGGGACATTATCAGTCCAGCGGCAAGGCAGAGAGCTCAGGAACAGCAGAGCCCGGCATCGCGCAGGTGGGGTCTGGAATTGCAGCGCTGAGAGCAGCATACCAAGCAGACCTTATCTGTGGCAAAATCTTTATTTTGGGGTTTGCCATCGGGTGCACACACTCGCCAGAGAGAGAGAGGGAGTGAGAAACCACCCTCAGGGGAGATAGCCACACTGCAATCCCCTTCTCCATTCTCCTCTAGAGATTTTGGGCAGGCACACACATGCGCCCAGAATGATTTTCAAGCTGCGGGGTCTGGGACTCAAACTACTGTTAGCCATGTAGGAGTCCAGCTTCTGCAATGTGGAGCCGTGGTCATCATCTGATATGTACACTCAAGACAGGCAGCCGAAACCTAGGGAATCTGTAGAACTAATACAGCAAAACCTGTGCTATTTGGATGACTCCTCGTAGAAATTTATGCACAGAAGACTTAGTACCTATTAAGTAGTATCTTTTCACATGTTCAAGCAGCTGTCTGAGAAGCTCAATGCCATAAATTGTTTATGATCATTGAGTCCAGCTGATGCAATGGATATGTTGATGCAAACAAGAAAAATAAAACAGTTAAAATATCTAATATGCACCCTCAAGAGTGCCAAAGGTTATACCTATAAATGGCTATCTATCTGATGGCGGCATGGAAGACACGCATGGGCAGAACAAGGCTCTCAAGATGTTAGCCGAAGCAGCTTATTTATTTGAAAATTATGACACAAATAAAGAATTAAACATAAGAGGTTACACCTTTTCAGTTGAAGATAACCGTTTTTGTTTTACACACTTAGGCAGACCCTCTCTTCTGAATTTGATACCATTCATCCATTTGATTAAAAAAATGGCTGCTCTTTTATTCATAACTGAGTAAAATGAATACTCCAACTAATTGTGAGTTTGATCGGATTGAATTTGTTTTGTTTTAAATTCCCATCTATCCTTCTCCATTCTCCTCTAGAGATTTTGGGCAGGCACACACATGCGCCCAGAATGATTTTCAAGCTGCGGGGTCTGGGACTCAAACTACTGTTAGCCATGTAGGAGTCCAGCTTCTGCAATGTGGAGCCGTGGTCATCATCTGATATGTACACTCAAGACAGGCAGCCGAAACCTAGGGAATCTGTAGAACTAATACAGCAAAACCTGTGCTATTTGGATGACTCCTCGTAGAAATTTATGCACAGAAGACTTAGTACCTATTAAGTAGTATCTTTTCACATGTTCAAGCAGCTGTCTGAGAAGCTCAATGCCATAAATTGTTTATGATCATTGAGTCCAGCTGATGCAATGGATATGTTGATGCAAACAAGAAAAATAAAACAGTTAAAATATCTAATATGCACCCTCAAGAGTGCCAAAGGTTATACCTATAAATGGCTATCTATCTGATGGCGGCATGGAAGACACGCATGGGCAGAACAAGGCTCTCAAGATGTTAGCCAAAGGTTATACCTATAAATGGCTTTCTATCTGATGGCGACATGGAAGACACGCATGGGCAGAACAAGGCTCTCAAGATGTTAGCCGAAGCAGCTTATTTATTTGAAAATTATGACACAAATAAAGAATTAAACATAAGAGGTTACACCTTTTCAGTTGAAGATAACCGTTTTTGTTTTACACACT